TAATCCAAGAAGCTGGACTATATGAAGAAGAATGCGGCATCAGGATTGGAGGAAGACTCATTAACAACCTGCAATATGCAGACAACCTGTGATATGCAGATGGCACAACCTTGCTTGCTGAAAATGAAGATGACTTGAAGCACTTATTGGTGGAGATTAAAGACTACAGTCTGCAGTATGGATTATATGTCAAGATAAAAAAAAAAAAATTCTTACAACTGGACCAATAAGAAGCATAACAATAAATGAAGAAAAGATTGAAGTTGTCAAATATTTTATATTATTTGGATGTAAAATCAACACCAGTGGAAGCAGCAGTCAAGAAATCAGATGATATATTGCACCGGGCAAATCTGCTGCAAAAGACCTCTTTAAGGTGCTGAAGAGCAAAGATGTCTCTTTGAAGACTAAGGTGCACCTAACCCAAGCCATGATATTTTCAATTGCCTCATATACATGTGAAAGATGGACAATGAATATGGAAGATCAAAGAAGAGTTAATGCGTTTGAGTTGTGGTGTTGGTGAAGAATACTGAAAGTACCATGGACTGCCAGAAGAACGAACAAATCTGTTCTGGAAGAAGTGTGACCAGAATACTCCTTGGAAGCAAGAATGGCCAGACTTTGTCTCATCTACTTGGTCATGTTGTCAGAAAAGACTATTCCATGGAGTAGGATATCATGCTTGGTAAAGTGGAGGGTCAGTAAAAAAGGGGAAGATCCTCAACAAGTTGGATTGACACAGTGGCTGGAATGATGGGCTCAGGTATAGCAAAGATTGAGAAGCTGGTGCACAACTGGGCAGTATTTTGTTCTGTTGTACATAGGATCTCTATGAGTTGGAGTTGACTCAATGGCACCTAAGAACAACAACATTGACTCATATCTCAAATTCTTAAGAAAAGTCTTTTTTTTTTTTTTTTTTTTTTGGAAATACTAATTCTATAGATTATATAATGTAAGACTTACAGTGTAGCTTCTTTAACCTTCTTTTCTTGACTCTTCTCCTCCTTCTTTTTGATGGGTTTAAGGGCCAGCTGTTTATAAGAGGGGTTTGGAAACTCCAGCTGCCCAACACCTGTAGATCTTGAAGCCTGTGGAAGTTGTCTCCCCTGCTGGTAGGAGAATCACCAGTTGTGTGAGAAACTGAGCTAGAGAACAGTTTTTCTCATTGGACAATGAGGGTGGTGGGCAATTATTCCCAAACAGCAATTATCTGGCCAATCCTGAGTACTCTAGGATGTTTTAAGACACTTTTGCTCTTTCTTCAGTCTGCTTAAATTTTTTGAGAACAATTTTACTGAGAATTTACATAATGTAAAATTCATGCTTTTGAAGTATACAGTCCAGTGATTTTCAGTATTCACAGAATTGTGCAGCTCTCACCACTATCTAATTTTAGAACATTTTCATCATCCCCAAAAGAGACTCTGTATCATTAAAAGTTGCTTCCCATTTCCACCCAGCCTTCAGCCACCAGCCCTAGGGAACCACTAATCTACTTTCTGTTGCTACAAATTTGCCTGTTCTGGACATTTCTTATTAATGCAATTATGCAATATGTCCTCCATTCTTTATTATTTCTCTGATTTCTGGAAAGCTTACTTTCTATATAAAAAACATAAATCATCTCTGAAGTTTCAAATTCATTACACTATTTTTCCTCTACTCTTTCCATTACCTGTGCATCATAAATACTTTCAAATACTCATCTTAGGTCATACTGAATGGAGTGATGTATTGCAGATTTGTAAGCTTGTTGACAACAGAATTTGACTTCCAAGGACAATGAAAGCAAAATTCCTGCCTGAACTTCAACTGAGTTTGAAGGGGGTATGGCTACAATATGTTTGACTACACACATGGTTTTCACATTATTCTCTGATTTCAAAATAAGAGAAATTGTGCTTCTAATACAAGTTACCTATTTTTTAATTTGTTTTTAACCATTGTTAAACCATCTTTTACATTTAGTCCACTCAAATTTGTACTAGTGAACTAGTGATTTGTGGCAGTGTTAAGCATATAATATTTAATACTGGCTTGCCTAAATAGATTATAATAATCTAATTATACTCTTTTATTTTTGTTACTCTTATGAGTTATTTTAAACAGGAATTATTAAAGTGTTTGTAATAGTAAGTTTAATAAACCACTTTATAAGTTTTACCTTTGAAAAATTAGCTTTAAAATTTATATATCAGATAGTAATTCTTTAGGGAAAACTTTAATATATAAATTAAGTGAGTAATTGAGATATTTTGCAATAGAATTTATGATGAGTGTGTTACTTTACTATCCTTCATACTTGTACAGTGTAGAAATTTCAGTAGGTATTTGAGAAGCTTAATTTTCATCGTCATCACATTTTACATTTGCAATATTTATGTGCTATATGGCATTTCTCAACAAAATTATAATTCAAGGACCTTTTTTAATGTGTTCTACCTTGAATAAAAGAAACTCTGGTGGCACAGTGTTTAAAGTACTCACCTGCTAACCAGAAGGTTAGTGGTTTAAACCCACTAACTGCTCCATAGGAGAAAGATGAGGCAGTCTGCATCTATAAAGATTTACAACCTTGGAAACCATATGGAGCAATTCTATTCTGCCCTTTAGGGTCACTATGAGTCAGAATTGACTCAGGGCAGTGGGTTGATTGCAGTTGAGTATCTTGAATGACAAGCTGAAGTATTCAGGTTAGTAGAGTAGTAAAAAGCATGGACTCTGGAATGAGACTTCCTCCATTCAAATCCCAGTCAAACCAGTCACTAGTTGTCTAACATATTATAATTGACTTAATTTCTCTGTGCTTTAATTTCCTCAACTGCAGAGTGAGAATAATACTAGTACCCATCAAGTAGAATTGTTGTAAAGATTAAATGAGATAGTGTATATATACCAAAAAAAAAAAAAAAAACCCTCACTGCCATCAAGCTGATTATGACCATAGTGACTCCCATTGAGGTTCCCAGGCTATAAATCTTTACAAAAGCAGACTGCTTCATATTTCTTTTGCAGAGCAGCTGGTGGATTTGAACCACTGAACTTTTGGTTAGAAGCCAAATGGCTTAATCACAACACCACCATAACTCCCTGTTATTGTTAGGTGCCGTCAAGTTGGCTCCGACTAGTGACCCTATGTACAACAGACTGAAACGCTGCTCAGCCATGCACCATCATGTGTTCTAATGTGTAGAACACATTAAAAAATGTTCTTGATCCTCACAATCCTTACTCTACTTGAGCCCATCATTGCAGCTGTGTCAATCCATCCTTTTGAGGATCTTCCCCTTGGTCGCTGGCACTCCCCTTTACCAAGCATGATATCCTCCTCCAGGGAGTGATCTTTTCTGACATAACCAGTAGGTGAGATGAAGTATGAGCATTCTCATTTTTAAGGAGCATTCTGGCTGCACTACTTTATAACAGATTTGTTTGTTCTTCTGACAGTCCATGGTATTTTCAGTATTCTTCACCAGCACCATAATTCAAAGGCATCGACTCTTCTTCAGTCTTCCTTGTTTTTTGTCCAGCTTTCACAGGCTTATGAGGCTATTGAACCCATGGCTTGGCTTAGGTGCACTTTAGTCTTCAGTAACATCTTTGCTCTTCAGCACTTTAAAGAGGTCTTTTACAGCAGATTTGCCCAGTGCAATATATCTGCTTTCTTGACTGCTGCTTCCATGGGTGTTGATTGTCAATCCAAGTAAAATGAAATATTTGAAAATTTTCATCTTTTCTCCATTTATTGTGATGCTGTTTATTGGTCCAGTTGTGAGGACTGTGTTTTCTTTATGTTGAGGTGTAATCCATACTGCAGACTAGTCTTTAATCTTCATCAGTAAGGGCTTCAAGTCATCTTCACTTTCAGCAAGCAAGGGTGTGTCATCTACGTATCACAGGTTGTTAATGAGTCTTCCTCCGATATTGATGCTGCCTTTTTCTTCATGTAGTCCAGCTTCTCAGATTATTTGCTCAACACACATATTGAATAAGTATAGTGAAAAGATACAACCCTGGCACACACCCTGATTTTAAACCATACAATATCCCTTGTTCTGTTCAAACTACAGCCTCCTGGTGTATGCACAGGTTTCTTATGAGCACAATAAGTGGTCTGGAATTCCCATTCTTCATAATGTTTTCCATAATTTATTATGATCTTTGTTGTTGTTGTTATGTGCCATCCAGTCGGACCCAACTCATAGCAACCCCTCCTTGGGTTTCTGAGGCAGTATCACTACAGAAGTAGATTGCCCCATCTTCCTTCCGGGGAGTGCCTGGTGGGTTTGAACTGCCAGGCAGTCTAATGCCTTTGCATGTCAATAAAACACAGGTAAATATCCTTCTGGTATTTTTTGCTTAGTGAGTATGCAATAATGTGTATTAAAAAAAAAAAAAAAAAAAAAACCTCACTGCTAATGAGTCGATTCTGACTCATAGTTACCCCCATTGTGTTTTCAAGGCTGTAAATCTTTACAGGAGCAGACTGTCTCATCTTTATTCCATGGAGCAGCTGGTGGGTTTGAAACACCCACATTTTGATTAGCAGCCAAATGCTTTAACCACTACACCATTGGAACTCCTTAATGTATATTAAACCCTTAAGTGCTTAATAATATTAACCATTTTATTCTTTGTGGTGTGGGTATACAAACAGCATGAAATAGTGGAGATATTAATGGATTGGTCAGCCAGAAATCTTGGTTATGTTCCCACTCATTCAGGGATTCTTTATATAGTAATGAACAACTTTCTGTCTTCTCCAATTTAGCTTCCTACATACATTATGTGGCATGTGAAATCATTTTTATAAAATACAGAAATAATGTACTTACCAAAATCAACGGAGTTTCTACAGAAATACATATTTTTTTTGTATTATAATTTGGGGATCAGGATATAAATATTTTTAATTGTTCAATTCCTTTTCAGAGATCAATGAAGTCTTTTTATATTTCAGCTTTAAGAGCATTCTTCCTATTTCTCTGTGCCAGGGTTTCCCAGGTGACTTTGGAGACAGAGGCCCTGCTGGTCCTGATGGCAGTCCTGTGAGTACAGTGTGATGGTCCAGTCTTAGAGAAACCATCACTCAGATTCCAAAGCAACTTTATTTGCCATCCTCATTACCATGTTCTGTGAATAAGGACTACTGGACAGACAGTTTTGAAACACTATGCAAACTCCAATTCATGATTTTTAACATTCCAAATAAGCCAAAAATGTTTTGGATAAATTTTGTCCTGAGAGACAATCATAAATCAATTATTTAAAACATGTTAAATGTGAATATTTAAGTAAAATATTAGAACTATATTATCACAATATTCTCCTGTGTGTTTTAGGGGCAAGAAAGAACTCTTTCAGGTACATGAAAGTACTAACCTGGCTCCTGGTTAAAATTGTGTACTCAATGATTGCTCTTTTGGCTTAGTCACTGTTGTTGTTATGTGCCCTCAAGTCAGACCTGACTTATAGTGACCCCTCCTGGGGTTTCCAAGTCAGTATCACTACGAAAGTAGATTGCCCAACCTTCCTTCCAAGGAGTGGCTGGTGGGTTTGAACTGCCAGCCTTCTGGTTAACAGTCAAGTACCTTAGGCACTAGGCTACCAGAGTTCCTCTTAAATTTCAGTGTTTATAATGGCTTCTTTATGCCAATGTTGGCATTGCTCAGGTGTCATTGTTCAGAGTAGGGGAAGATTTACCACTCTAACATTGGTTTAATTGTATTATTAAATAATGTTGATTAATCAAATTACACAATCAAACTGCCTTCAAAGAACATCCAGTCACTAACTCCTCCCATCCATACTATACACACCTTTTTTTTTGTAAGATTTTAAGGTAAACTAGAATCAGCCACAAAAGTCTGTATTGATTAAATTATCAATTGTTCCTATTAGACATATGTAAATCACTAGGATTTATATTTAAAATCAAGTATTTAAAGATAGTTTTATTTCTATTTCCAATTTGTAACAATATTACCTAATTCAGTGCATTTAGACAAGTTTTACGTGTTACAAGGCATGGCAGGTAAGAAACTTCCAAAGAAGTTGTTTAAAACTTAAGTAATGTTATAATTAGAATGTTTACCATCTTTTTCTTGTCCATGATTCTGGGCAGCTTTCCATTAAAAGTATAATAAAGCTGGTATTACTTAGTTTTATCTTTAGTACTATTATGGACTTAAGTACCTAGAGTGAGGCTATGTTATTTAATTTTTTTATCAGTTAAATACACAGGAAGTCTGTCAAAGTTGGACTCTACAATATTTAAAATTTTCTTTTTGAAATATGTTCTTCATTTCAGATATTATACAATGTTTCCTGAGGAGGGTTTGGTCATGGGATATGAACTATCTTAAAGATTTTATAATGAGAATGAGTTCAAAAAGTCCATTACAGATCAACTGGGAAAATTTATATTAATAATTAATAATCTTACATTTATATAAGTAATTTAACAATGTTGGTTGTTTATTACACTTATACAGTGCTTTGTAAAAAATTAAAAACCTTTTATGCATATGATGTAATTTTAATTGTGATCTTTATAACAATGAAAACAAATATTATTATTCCTATTTTACAAATGAATAAACTGAAGTTTAGAGAATTTAAATTATATATGTTTAAGGAGTTGAGTTTTAACAGTTTGAAAATGTTCTAAACCTATCTGCTGACCACTTGCCTTTTCATACAATATTTATAGGCTAAATGTTGATTACTAGTAGAACTTATTTTCTTTAATAAATACATAGGAAGTTATACAAAAAATAATAACAATAATAAAAAGAAAAACCAAACTCACTGCCATCGAGCCAATTCAACTCATAGTGACCCCTCCTTGGGTTTCTGAGGCAGTATCACTATGGAAGTAGATTGCCCAACCTTCCTTCCGAGGAGTGGCTAGTGGCTTTGAACCCCCAGCCTTCTGGTTAGCAATCAAATGCCTTAGGTGCTACGCCACAGGAGCATAGAGAAATTTATGTCCTGAGCTTTATGGTAGTCCTAACATCCAAAAGCATGGAGCCAAGAACTTTTGAGGAAAATAAACTGCCACCACAGATTTTCACTTCCCAGAAGTATCCATAAGAGTAGGAAAGTTTCAGAAGTTAGATGTAGCAGAATGTAAAATTTTATATATTTCTTTCATGGAACTTTTTGTTTTTCCCTTTGGAAAATATTCTTGTTAGCTGGGACTCTCTAAGCTGTTCCAGAACCATAGTTAACCAATTGGCACATTTCTCTTACACAGGGACTTGTAGGCAGCATTGGCCCACCAGGATTTCCTGGACTTAGAGTGAGTATCACTAAATATCATTATTCTTATAAAATGTTTGATTGTGTAATTTGTATTTAATACATGTGTTTTAAAACTTTAGAAAAAAGGTGAATGTTTAGTGTAATTGTTGGCATCAAACACGCTCAAGTGTATTTTCAACCAGATATGCAAATTAGACCAGTATTATTAGTTAAGAAATTAATTATATTTTGCAATAAGCTAAAATAACAATATATTTGCATAGATTTGTATGTATGTATGTATCTATGCCTGTCTCATTAAAGATTACTTAATGAAGATCTGGCTTCCTCAAGAGTATATGACATGGAAGAGCTGCCTCTTTCTTTAAGAGTCTTCCATACTGTCTACTCTCGAGAGAGACAGATAGTTCTAAATAAAATCACATGGTATAATTGTAAACTTTTGGTTATGAAATCAAACTGAATAAATCATTAGGAAAGCTATCCTGAACAAAGGAAGGAGCCATACTTCACCAATGTTATTAAACATTTTAATACTTAATTTATTATGCTGAAAGTATAGCCACGTCATCAATTTTTAGACAGTGAATGCAATTCTAAAAATTTCATTGGAGTTTCTGATGTTGGCAAAGCACAGCAAAGTAAAAGTAAGTCTGTGGAGGCCAAAACAATATAGTTAAGATATGTAGCTTCCTGATTATCAAGGACGAATTTTAGAATTTGCATCAGAATGAGCAGACGGCTACAATATACCTGCTATGATATATCATCATAAATGTGCATTTCTTTCAACCAAGCTTATGGTTCATGACAGGAATATGAATTTCTGATATTTTATGTTTTATATAAATCTTGAGCCATTTGCTTTAATATTCAGCAGAGCTAAAGGCAGGATTGACATACCTTTATGCAATGTAATGAGAATAGAATCTTAATAGTAAACTACTTACCTGTATTCATACAAAAGTGGAACATAACTATGGGCAGAGGCAAACTTTTCCTTAAAAATCAACTTAGTGCTTGTTTTAACATGTAAAGTAGGCAATTAAATTTCTAGACTTTTATAACATAATTTATAGTCACAATATTTTTAGTCTGAATATGAACACAGATCTCCTGACTCCAAATTTAATGTTCTTTCCCTTGCCCTTAGCTGCCCCAAGGCAAATGCTAATTGACAGCTTACTCAAAGAAATAAGACAGGAGCATAGTTATTTGAAGTGGGATAAAATTAAAATCAGCATAGCAAGTTTTAACATGCCATTTTGAGATGACCATAATATGGCATTTAGAGTCAGAGAACCTGAGTGAGTGCAAGACATTTAAACTTTTCTCTAAATTAGTAGTAGTAGGAGGAGGAGGAGGAGGAGGAGGAGTCATAGAAGCTCACATTTATTTAGTCTTTTTAATATAGTAGTCACAAATGTTACCTCGTTTAATTGCCAGAACAGCCCAAGACTCCTTAGCTCAGAAGGGCTTGAGCCCACTTTTTAAGCCAGGTGATCCAAATCCATAGTCCAGAATTCTAACTGTTGTGCTATACCTTGTTAAAATTTTATACCTTTTTAAAATTTGTATAACCTTAAAATGTCTATTATCTATAAGTTTTTTTAGGCTTTTGTGAGAAACTATGTACAGGTGATTTTCATCTACTCCAAAGGACTAGTATTTTCATTTTTTTGAGTTGGTTAGTTCCAAGTGTCTCTGATTAATCTTAAAATTTAGACAAAAATTCTTAGCATGGCCTAAGATATCTAGCCTGGTTTGGTTCTTATCCATATCTTGAGAACTCACTCTTTGTGTACTGGCAAAACTGTTCCTTGTAAGATGACATACACCCATTCTACAAACTTTTTGTGCACATTTATCTGCTTGGAACACTCTACCTCTGTTTTTGCCTAATTAACTCTTATTCATCCTTTAGTTCCTGGACTTAGTATGGTACCTGAAACATTATAGTTCTTAGTAAAAATAACCTGAATTTTCAATCTTCTCTCTCCATACCTCTTAATAGATGGGAAGAGATTCTGCAGAAAAAGAAGTGGCTAATGACACTAATAGTCACTTTTGTTGTCCTCATCTCTTCCATTTTGATATGTTGTTGTTGTGTGTCTAGAGTCAATTTCTACTCACAGTGACACTATAGAACAGAATAGACCTCCCCCACTAAGTTTTTTAGGCTGTAACATTTATGGGAAGGCACTCTGATGGTGTAGTGGGTAAGACATTTGACTACTAGCCAGAATGTAAGTGGTTCAAACCTACCACCTGCTCCATGGGAGGAAGATGAGGCAATCTACTTCTGTAAAGATTTATAGCCTTGGAAACCCAATGTTTATGGAAGCAGATCACCAGGTCTTTTCTACTGTGGAGCTGCTGGTAGGTTCAAACTACCAACCTTTGCATTAGCTGAGTACTCAACCACTGTACCACCAAGGCTCCTTCCTATTGATATAGATTATGCTTTATACTTTTCAAAGTACTTTCACATACATGTCTTATTTGCTCCTCAATGAGTAGTAAAGAAGACGGAACAATTATTATTACTTCCATTAACTTTTCTTTCGATCAAAACAATGTTAGTACCTACTATGTATCAAACTAAAGCAAACCAAACCCACTACTGTGGAATTAATTCTGACTCATGGAGACTCCATATTTCACAGAACTGCTCCATAGGGTTTCTTAGCAATTCTTGTGGAATTCTTCCACAATTCTTGTGGAAGCAGATCACCAGGTCTTTCAAATTTCTGAAGGATCTCTGGTAACACAGTGACTAAGGCATCTGACTGCTAACCAGAAGATTGGTGATTCAAACCCACCAGCCCCTCCATGGAAGCAAGACTGGGCAATCTACTTCCATAAAGATTACTGCCTCAGAAACCCAATGGGGGTTGCTATGAGTTGGGATCAACTTAATGACAGTGGGTTTGGTTTTTGGTTTTCAAGTTCCTGTAGCACCACAAGGTGGGCTAAAAGTGGCAATATTTAGGTTACTAGATGAGTACAAGCGGTTTTATGTATAAACACTGGCCTAAAAATAAGAACAAGTCAAGATTCCTGTTTTTAGCAACATTAAAATCTAATGGCCAAGAAGCAGAAGTAAGTAATGCTATATACCATGATTACTGCTATGTTGTTGTTGTTGTTAAGTGCTGTCGAGTCGTTTCCGACTCATAGTGACCCCATGCACAGCAGAACGAAACACTGCCCAATCCTGCGCCAGCCCCACAATCCCTGCTATACCTGAGCCCATCATCACAGCCACCGTATCAATCCATCTCCTTGAAGGCCTCCCCCTCTTTCGTCGACCCATCGTTCTACCAAGCATGACATCCTTCTCCAGGGAATGGTCCCTTCTTACAACATGACCAAAATAGGTGAGACAAAGTCTGGCCATTCTTGCTTCCAAGGAGCATTCTGGCTGCACTTCCTCCAGGACAGATCTGTTATTTCTTTTAGCAGTCCACGGTACTTTCAGCATTCTTCGCCAGCACCACAACTCAAAAGCATCAACTCTTCTTCGGTCTTCCTTATTCATTGTCCAGCTCTCACATGCTTACCAGGCGATTGGAAATATCATGGCTCGTGTCAGGCGCACCTTTGTCCTCAAGGAGATATCCTTGCTCCTCAGCACTTGAAACAGTTCCTTTGCAGTTGACTTTCCCAATGCTATACGTCGTCTAATGTCCTGACTGCTGCTTCCGTTGGCATCGATTGTAGAACCAAGCAACTTGAATTATTTGACAACCTCAATCTTCTCTCCATTTATTGTGATGCTGCTCATTGGTCCAGTTGTGAGGATTTTTGTTTTCTTTATGTTGAGATGTAATCCATACTGCAGACTGTATTCTTCAACCTTCATCAGTAGGTGCCTTAAGTCATCCTCACTTTCAGCAAGCAAAGTTGTATCGTCTGCATATCTCAGGTTGTTAACGATTCTTCCTGATTACTGCTATAGTGGATTAAATGTAACTTTGATTACTGCTATAGTGGATTAAATGTAACACCACTGAGGAAGAGGCAATTTATGTCATCTCTGAGAGTCAGAGTAGGCTTCATAAAGGAGATATCTTTTAAATTATATATTGAAAATGGCTCTTAGGTAGAAGAATGTTCTATGCAAACACAGAGAAAAGAGAAAAATGGAATGTTTGGGAAATGGAAAGGGAATAGTGGGATTATAACCCAGTAAGTATGAAGGGATGGGAACAGAATGGAAGGAGATAAGTAGAATTGAAGGTAAATGGGAAAGATTATGAAGAGCTTTTATATTTTATAGTAAGCAGTTTTTCTGCTTTCCCGGACTGAAGCTTTTCCTTTATCTCTCATGTGCTCCCTTCCAGAAGGTATAGTTTCTGACAAAAGATAATATTGCTCTCTCTAAATTAGTTTTTCCACACAGTTGATTGTTATCATTTGTTTTCTTAGTTACTCTAGTAATAGAGGTTATTGCCTGTGAGTGTGGATGGGAAAGGTTGAAAAGGTCAATACAGAACTTACAGTCCTTTTCACAATAGACTTATATGAACTCTTATTAATTGGTCAGTGGTTTTTGTTTTTATATAATCTATCCTTTGGGTCTATTTCTTACTTTGACTCAAAATTCTCTATTACTTATAGCTGTATGGGATGCTCTTCTGTCTCTGGTGCTATATCCCAGCCACCCTCAGCTAAGCTCCCATGCTTGAAAGCATTTCTTCTTCTGTCTGTTCCATCTTCTCATGCTTCAGGAGTGTGGTAGGTAGGGAATGCCAAAGGACTTTCAGGTGCCCTTTGTGGAACTGAAAACTGTGGTTTTGAGCTGTCATGGATCACTTTGAGAATGCTATAATTTTTTAGGAGTCAGATTGGCCACACACTTGTGGCATGCCACAAAATTCTTGGTGTTTCTTGGAAATTTCTGTAGCCAAACCGTTTGCTTTTTACCTTTTAGTTCTCTATTTTACTAAGTACTTTATAGTGTATGTGTTCTTTTATATTCCTAATACCATTATGTGATTTTCTTATTTAGAGCCACCAAAAAGTAAAATAAAATATAAC